AAAACAAATAATAAAATTTGTGTAACCTTATATGATCTTGTAAGTCAACAAAAATTTTGGGAAATGTCCAGTGACTGTTAAAGAACGTATATAAGATATCCCGCATTGCCACACTTAGATCAACTTTGTCTTCGTAAATCTTTTTTTGATGAGGCTCTGGTAATCCACCACTTCTGAGACCTATGAGAGCCTCAAGCCTGTTAATACTCTTTTTCAAAGTTCCTCGAAAATCACACTTTTGTCCAATGCGAGCTCTGAGAACAATGGAATGACCTTCATTTCGGCGACAAGCTGATACCCAACATGCAATTTCCCCACTATAAAATTATGTAAGATGGAATGTGATTACATAAAATCAGACTAGTCATATTGCTAATCTATACTTACACATCCATCTTTAGTTCCTCCCTATTTAAGAATCTTTTTGCAAGCATGTTGGGAAATGCATTGTCAAAGTCAGCTTCGGAAACAGGAAGATCAACCCTTTCCAGATTTTCAGCACTATATGTGCAAGAATTGACTGTAAGAAAACAAAATAAAGTTTTTGATAATTATATTTTGTTTCACTCACTACATAACAACAGCCTGTCTTAAAATGGAAATAACGTTCTTTTCCTCATCACTAAGCTCTACTTTTCGATTCATTTCAATAATTTCTGGGGTTAATCTATCAATCGCATTGATGATATCTTTATTATCTTTTTTTGTAATCTAAATTATTTGAGTCAGCAACATTTTTTAAAGTGTTGAAACAAAACACATATTTCCTTTTAACTTACTTTTTCAACTTCATCGAAAAAATACTCTACCACATCAAGAAAATCTGATTCAATCAATTTAACTTCATTATTGAAACTTTCAACCATTTCCTCCCAGTCATTTGTCGAGAAAAGAGATTTAATTTGGGTATTCTCAGTCAAATCAAGTATATTCCAATATGCAAGACTATAAGTGAAAAAAAAAACTATAATTAAAAATAATCATCACCAACATCCATGTTATCTATCAATAAACCTACTTCAAACATTTTTGGGTTTCAGGAATTGTCTTGACATAACTTGTCAATTTATCTCCAACATTTGTACCGCTACGGAGGATCCACAGATACTGAGAAGTTGATGACATTGGCTTGGATTCTTCTATGCGTTCTATGAAGTTTATATTCCCATTATTGTTGCTGATGTCATCATTGCGAATTTTGTCATTATTTCCCTTGTCCATAAAGAATTCATCAATCTCATCCATGCCCTCCTCTTCTTGATCTTCTTCTTCTTGATCTTCTTCCTCCTGATCTTCTTCACTCACATCTGGATCTGGATTGGAGTTCGTGTTTTTTGCTGAAAACTCACCCTGTAATAAAAATTACCAACCTTTTTAAGCATATTCATTGAAACCTTTTAATTTGTTTTTGAAAAATAAGACTAGTTTACCTTGTTTAATGCCAACATATTTATCTCCCTGTGAAGATTAATATTAGTATTACGTACACCACAACGAACTAAAATCTATATACAAATTGTTGTAAATGTTAAATCCAACTATATGAAATAAAAGCCAACAGCTGAACATACCGCTGTCTTCTCCTGCAACCATGTTTCCCAATCATGTAAAATCCTTGTATCCTATCAAAAAAGGGATCAGTACTTTATAATATAGCAAAAACACTCTCAATTACATACATCCACCGTTTCTTTCATTATTTTTAGTTTATCCCGAAGCTCCTGATTGTCAGCAATATTCGAGGCCAGGTCAAGACTTTGTTGATATTTATTAGTTGCTTTATTTCGATGTGCTGGACATATATATCGAAAAAACGCGATTGGAGTTGGATCGGGGCAAGCTAACATCCAATTTATGTTGACTTCTTGCCGAGTTAACTTGCACGAGGAGGATTTCATTACTTGAGAGTAAAAGGTATAGAAAGAAATTGTGAGTATTTTGATAAACAAAGTAAATTAAGCATTCAGCAAAGTGGTTTGTTTTTCACATAAGGCCGGCCACCGCTTGATGGTGACTCGCCATTGCTGGCTTCTGACAGTTTCTCTCTGCCACAGGCGCCTTTTGTGTTAAACAAACCCCATAAACTCTGTGCAATGAAATCAGCCGGCCGTCGCTTGATGACGACTCGCAATTGCTTGCTTCCGACAGTTTCTCTCTGTCGCAGGCGCTTCATTCTTGCTAACAAAAGCTATGGCTTATAAAGAGAAGGAAAACACCTGAATTTGATATCTGATATGTTAATGTATGTAATTTGCAAAACGAAAAATTTTTTATACCGATGCGGAAGTTCCCCCCCAAAAAAAAAGGTCGGATCACGTGGAAATGTTCAACTGCCCCAGTAGGCTGGAGGTTTTGTTGCAGGAGCGTGACTTCTGTATTACATCTCTGGCCAGTTAAAATATTT